CAGCATGGTTGGAAAAAGTTCAACAAAATTGTTATAGCACATGGATTTTAGATGTCTACATTGATGATATTATTGTTACTAGCAATGATCAATAAGGAATCAGTCACTATAGGAGACATCTTAAACAATATGTTCAGACTAAAGTTTTAGTCCTGCTAAGGTATTTTCTAGGAATTGAAGTAGCCATATCAAAGCATGGCATTAGTTGTCTCAAAGAAAATATGTGATTGATTTGTTAACAAAAACTAGAATGTTGGGTGCTAGACCAGTGGATACGCTTATGGATTCAAATAGAAAATTATTTGCTAATTAGGGGGGAGTTGTTCAAGGATCCAAGAAGGTACAAAAAACTGGTGGGCAGGCTCATTTATATGACCATTACTAGGCCCTATATTGCTTTTGCAATAAGTACTATGAGTCAATTTATGCATGCTTCAAGGACTCCTCACTAGGATGTTTGATTTACAAACCAAATAATCACTTAGCCATTGAGAATTACTCATATGCTGATTAGGAAGGTCACAATCTGATAGGCGGTCTACCACAGGTTTTTGTACATTTATTGGTGAAAACTTTGTAACATAAGTAAGCAAGAAACAAATATTGTGGCTAGATCTACTGCAAAAGCTAAATATAGAGCTATGGCATATACTACTATGTGGTTGAAAGCATTGATGTAGGAATGCTGTTGCTAAAACCTATGAAGATAAATTGTGATAATAATGTTGTCACCTATATAGCCAATAATCTAGTGTTTCATGAAAGGACCAATAAATGCCATTTTATCCGAGAGTTTATCCGAGAGAAAGTTGCTAGTAAATGGGTATATACTCCACACATGAATTCTAAGGATCAAGTGGCAAACATTTCACCAAAGGCCTTGGTTGTAATATGTTCCAAACAATTTATTCCAAGCTGGCCATGGGTAACATTCATGCTCTAGCTGGAGGGGCAATGCTAAAATCCTTTGTTATTTAAGTTTTGGACCTAAGTATCCTAATTCTTTTTGTATGGGCAGTTTAGTCCACAACATATTTCTTTAATAAAATAGGAGGCTGAGAGGTGTGTGAATGTGTTAGACCTCACAGTATTCTCTTCTATTTCTCTCGTGCCCCCCTCGTATCTCTCTCTTCTCTCTCTCTTCTTTCTCTTTTCTCTTTTCTCTCTCTAGGTTCTCTAACAAACACTAATGTTTCATTGTGATGCATCTTTAAGGTCCCAAAATGGACCAGCAAAAGGAGAGAGGGGACTCAAACTTTAAACATCAGGGATCAAATTCCAAAAAGTTGAGAAATGCATTGCCTAAGAGAAAGGAATGCATGTGTGGGAGTGGGAGTGCCACCTTAGATGGAAGATCCTGCCAACTATGATATAGACTCCCAGAAAGTGAAAAAACAGACACAGTAGTGCCTATGTTTGAGGTTCTTAAAGGAACAGTTCAGCTATTAGTCAAAATGCAGGGGATTTAAGCACCTTCCTGAATTTTATGAGTAATTGGCAATTTGGAAAACTCATGGAGAAGAAATAGCATTAAATAAATTGGAAGTCAAAGAATGTTTGCAAGCCCGATTAGGGCCAAAGAAATTCACAACAATTTTAAATACATGAAATAAATTCCTCTGATAAGTAATAGAAATAAAAAAATGCATATTGATGAAACAAACTCTCCAACCATTACAGCAAGTGTGCATTACAAACTCAACACGACATTGCCTTACAAAGGCCTTTTAATCACACATACAATCGATAAAATAATGATAAAGGTTCTAAGGAGCTTGCAAAAGTTTGGGCCCAATAGAATGTCTGCTTCCAAACACTATAACCATACAGAATTGATACAGGACAAATGAGATGCTCCTGCATGCTCAAGGAGGTTATATTATTGAAATGAATTGAAAATGGTTTCCAAATCACGACACAGGTAATCACCTTAGGGGCAAGTGTGGGAATGTGGAATGAATAAAATATTCCTTGAGGGAAATATAAAAGCAATCTCTCTCTCTCTCTCTCCCTGTAGTACATGTCCTAACACTACGTCAAACTGGAGCGCTCATTGATATAAGTAACATTTTAGTCACCGAGTAATTAGATCACTGATTGTTGGATAGGTATTAATGGATAGGTAAATCAATTTGTAACTTGTGTAGATGTGATATGAGATAAAATGATGAAAGACTATCTCTAATTAGTGACAGTCTACTGAAACACATTTGGTTCTTTCATGAAATTGAGGATTGATAGTTACTTTTATAGAAGGGAATTTAAGTCTAACGTGAACTCCCATATCAGCTAATATATGATGAAATCATATGAGCCCAGTTGGAATCTGCTGACATGGCTCTGTGTTTGTAGGGAACTAGCTTAATGAACAATCATGAGAAGCTCGTTCAACTATAGTCACATGAAGAATGCTCCCAGTGGGAAGGATTTAACTGAATATTAGGTTCTTCTTGTGTTTCTTATATTAGGACTGAAAATGTCTCAAAAGCCAACTAATCTCGATAAACTATCAATTATGAAGAATGCTTTGAGAAAGAAGGATTTAAACAGACATCCATTTCTGATTGAGATTCTTATACATGAGGACTGGAACTGTTTTGAAAATCAAAGAGTGAAGCAGTTCTTCTTAAATATTCACCCGTTTCATTGAGATGTGCCATGATTCTAAAAACAGTCCAAATTGCAATTTCATCACGAGCATGCATTGAGTTCCAAAATCATTCCAAGTCAAATTCTTTGCATGTTTTTTGAGCACGCTCAATCAGGTAATTATTAGTTCAGTGGGAAGCAGACAAGAGGTGACTATTCCCAATGCAAGAGGTTTTTAACAGGTACATGTCAGATCTAACACATGGAAGGCGTCCTTGATAACTGAAATGCACAATAGAATTAGTATCCATATAGGGTCATGGATTTACAACATAGATTTCTTCAGTTTAAATAATTCACGAAATACACAGCACATAAAAAATATGTGTTTCTGACATAAGACTTTAAAAGAATTGCACAATTGATGTCTCGTAAAAGAAAAAGAAAATTGAAGAGATACCAGCAGGCAAGATGGGGAAGGCGGATGGGAATTAGTAGAGGCAAAGCCTAAACCACACACCCGAGGTAGCGCAGTAAGGTGAAGCTGAGACGAGTGACGAGGTAAGTTTCAGCAGCGGCGTGACCCACATCTTGCCTGAATGATTGCTGGCGAGGTGGAGTGGGAGATGGGGTTGGGCTGCCCGTGCCCGTGCCTGTGCCTGTGCCTGTGCCTGTGCCTGTGGCCCCTCCCCTTCTCCTCCTCTGCTGGAAAGCAATAGCAGTGGCAGAGGCAGAGCGAGGGAGAAATGGCTCCTTCTCATCTACCTTATTTTCATCATCATTACCAATATCATCTTTTGAAGAAGAACAGCAGCCATCAGCAGCATCCTTGTGGCAGTTATTGAATGAAACTAAGTGCTCGCCATCCTCGATCCCATCACTTTTTCCTCCTCCTCCTCCCCAAAATGACGAGTAGTGCTGCTTGGGGAGTTGTTGTTGCAGTTCAGATTGAGAGGAAGAAGGAGAGGGGAAAGAATAAACCATGGCCTTCGCAAGAAGAAGAGGGGAGGGAATGATTATATTAGATTTGGAATTACAGCAGCCGTAGTGAATGCCAGAGGGAGAAGGAACGCCACCCCTGCTGCACCAGCAACCAGCAAATGCCAGCACTGATAAACGAGGAAGGGAGGATCGAACAAGGTACATGTGTCCACCGTCGAACCGCAGAGGATATCATATTCCAATTCCAAATCACATTTTTTCATTTTTTTTTTTTCATTTTTATGAACACGAAAAAACCATTACAAGGCATTTCTTCATCATCATCCTCCTCCTGCGTTAACTCCTCAACTCTCCCGCACCTCCCGGGAGAGAGATAGTGAGACTCGGTCACGTTGGTTTGGTTGCTGATTAGTTGAGAGAGAGTCTAGTCCACTCCACTCCAGTCCAAAAAATCAAGAAATTCGGATTTAATATTAGGAGATCCCAAAAACATTAGAAAACTAGAAAAAACTTCTTCCTAACCTTTGAAAATCTTAGGTGAACCCTACCTAGAAATCCTAGTTTTTTTCCTAGCCTCATGAACTTTAGATTTACCTAAAAATCCTACTTCCTTAATAAATAATAGTCACTAGCATTGGCTCAAATTTCAAGAATGAAAAGATTGCCAGGGTGTACAAGCAATTTGGAATCACTCAAAAATTCTCAACACTACATTACCGGCACGTAAATGGCCAGGCCAAAGCCACCAACATGATGCTTATTAAAATCATCAATCGAACTATAGAAAATGGAAAGGATTGGCATGAGAACATATAAGAAGAACTGTAGGCCTACCAAACTAATGAGAAGACACCCTCAAAGAACCTTATACTCCTTAGTCTATGGAATGGAGGTTGTCCTCAGTGTCGAAATAGAAATACCACCCTTAAAGATTGTTGCCCACAAAGATTCAAACGATGGTCAAGTAAGGGAAGCTCGATTGGTAGCTCTCGAAACTCTAGCTAGAAGACGCCTTTGAGCCTCCACCACTATGAGGGCTGACCATCAACGACTAGAACGAGCATATCAAATCAAAGTGATCCCATGACAATTCAAGTGTCACCGAACCACCAAGGGGTCACATGTGGCAAAATTGTAAGACCTGTTATTCTTTCAAAAGAAGTTTGTGAAAATAATTTCATCTATTTCTTCAAAGTTTTCAAAAATCTATCTAAAAAAAGGGATTCCCTCCATCACTTCACGAGGCTAAACTGCTTATCCCATGTTCCCTCTTCAGGAACATGAGGACAACCTCTTACGCCTGTGAGGTCAAAAACCAATCAGGCACTCCATTAAGCGGTAATATGAAGGTACTAATCTACGAAAGAAAATTGTGCTCTCATAGCTCGACCAAACTCGTGTGTGTGCAACAATGTCCTTCACAACAAGATGAAAATTACAGATGCATACACCATAAAACACCTTTCAAGGCGAATGGAACAAAAACAATCATCATATAGATGTAAGGAAGATCCATACAACACTTGAGTGCCACAGTACAGTGATACAAGCGAACAAAAGAAGAAAAAGACAGTAAAAAGGTACAACAAAACTGGAGTGTGCAAGAAACAAAATCACCCCTCCCTCGATCTAGGAGTCCTCAACCGGGGTTAAACTGTTCCCACCCTCCTCCATCTCTGATAGGGCGGCCTCGAGGTCACAACACTCTTAATCCCAATAGGAACAGGAGCAGGAGGCTAGGTGAACTCCAAGACACGCTCCACATCCTTGGGGTCTCCTCTTCTTGCAATCGGCATAGTGCCCAAGGTGGTAATGGCATGCTAGGACCGCATGAGAATGATTGTATCGTCCTGCACCCGTTCACCCTTAGCTCATTCTACAAGATAAAAGAAAAGCACCCGTTCACCCTCAGCTCATTCTACAAGACAAGAAAAAGAACGACCAGTCAATATAAGAAATGCAAATGATGAAGGAATGAAAGAAGATGAAGAATACATACCCTTTCTTGGTGAATGCAGTCAATATCCACCCTCAGCCGCCGAATCTCCACCTTAAGTTAATTGACATACTCCTTTGGGACAATAGCAAGAGCAACTGAGACAGACCCGCCTCTGAGGAGCTCGATGTCCATATGCAAGCGAACGATCTGGGGTCGAGGCACTCGATGTCCATCAGCAAGCGAGCGATCTGGAATCGAGGCACTCAATGTCCATCTGCAAGCGAGCGATCAGGAATCGAGCGTCATCTGTGTGTGTGTGTGCGCGCTTGCCTCCTCCTGCTCAGCTCCTTCAGCTGAACCTCCTTATCAATGGACCTTCCCTCTCGCACTCAGCACAGGCATTGCTCAGTCGGTGTTCGATCTCTTGACCCCAGCTCTATAGGAAGACAATATCCCTCCAGAGCGCCCAATAAATGTGCTCATAACCAGATAGGGGCATCTCTAAGTGATTGATCTTTGCTCTCCTCTACTCCCTGGTCCTCCACTCACAGACCCATGCCTGATATCCTCATCATATGCCTTTGAAGTCCCACTCATGATGTAGGAGGCTCCCAAAATGGAGTAAAGATGTAAATGGGGCTGTGGCCACTCTAGCTGTCGCATCACCCTCTGTGATCGATGCATCTCGACCACATCTAAACAAATCATGTGGATCCTTGCCAAGAAAGCGTACGCACTCTCTACGTACACACTTGCCCGAGGACTACCTCCAATTGGAGACCAAATAATTTGATAATAGAACAAGAGTTAAAGTCAAAATTTTACCAGCTTAAGCGAAAACAATGAAATTAAGGGACTAAAGGGAAGATAACTCATCTCTTGCTCCTTTAGGGAATCCAAGAATAGGGTATAAAACAAGTGCAAATGTCTCGTCTATTTCCCAAACCCCAAAAAACTGAAGAAATAGGGCGGCAAGGGGTCGCAATGTGCTCCCAAGCCCACACCTGAATATCACCAAGGCAAGTTAGAACATGTCCTTAAAGGATGAGCATGATATACTCAAGAAATGAAGCAGAAAAACAATTCCATACCTGCAAGCAACCACCCAGGGCGTGCACTTGTCCAAGGGCGACCTGCCTCAGACTATGTAGTAAGAAGCCAAGGATGGCAGGTCCCCATGCCACCCTCTCCAGCCTCACCAAATCACGAATGGTCCAAATCATCTTGTGTTTGGTCCTCCCTCAGGACATGTCTGCAAATAGAAAGGAGCCGAAGAGGTACACTACAAATGCTCTCAGCGAGCGTGTCTACTCCTCTCCCATCAACTCCACATTATCATCAATGGCCACATCAGCCCTGAATCTCCTCTGTTCTGCTTCCTAGACCCACTGAAACTCTGTTGTCAGTGCCTTGGCTCTCAGCCTCTCGACCGACTCTCTACAACGTAGGTGGGGTTGGCCGCCTCATCATCAGCAATGGTGGTGCTAGCTTTCCCAACCTCCTCAACCCCCAAGAGTCTCTCTACCTCCTCGGCGGCCCTCTCAACACCGCCAACCACCATCTCCATCTCCTCCTTCTCTGTCACCATGGCCTCACTATCACCCTCATCATCCATGGCCTCATCAGCTACTGGGGGGTCAACTGCCTCCCCCCTCCTCTAGCGAGTCCTATGATTGGTCAACTCAGTCGCTATTGCCCTACCCCTAATGACACAGCCTTCCTGTGCCTGGTGCTGGTCCCTCTGAGGACCAAACTCCTTCTTAAGCCAACTAAGCTGGAGAGCATCCTTGCTTCCCATGCTAGGATCTGGGTGGTCCCCATCAAAAATTTCAAAGAAGATCCCAATCGAAGTCTCCTCTGGACCAAGGGGGGTACATACGTAGGGATCCCCCTCACTCCTCACACCCAGGATGTGGGTGGCATCATCTAAAGTGGGTCCTAACTCTCCACAAGAAAATGGAAATGTGCCAGTCTCCGACCTAAACCGAAGACACAACTCGATAATCAAAGGCAAATCTAGGCTACATGGCCTGATTCTACAGATCTCCCACAACCCTATCCTAGCCAGATGCCTAATATGACATTGGATCAACAGCAGTACCCACCCTCTAAGGGAGAAAAGATAACATCTAGACCCTAGAGAGTATCCCTGCCAAAATGAACAAACAAAGATGAAAACAGTGTTACAAGGAGTCTCATGAAGTCACTGCAAATTAAGAGCCCCAAGCAGGGTATGTTTCAATTTCACTGTTGAGGTGTTGTATGTTTCAAAAGCCCCAAGCAGGGGAAAATTCTAACAAAAGTTAGCGGGGATGAGCTGTCACATGCTGAGAGCCCCAAACATGGGCAATTTAAGGGAATACGAAAAAGTTATAGGTCAAGTTGTCAACGACTTCCGAGATGCGACAATTTCAGTTCAAGAATAGAAAATGAAGAACTTTTGTGTCAAATACTGCCCCAAGCACAGGCAATTTAAGGGATCAGGTGAAAATTACCATTAAGGGCTAGCTCACCCGACCCTAATGCATCATACACCCCAAATGAGGGCTACGATACCAAAATAAGTTTAAAGGTTATGTGTGAGGGCTCAACAATGAAGGTTCTATGCATCATAATTCAGAAAACAAAAGAGCAGAACAGAAAGCAACTCTTGCGATGTGTGAGGCTCAGTCGAAGCTGAAATAAAAAATGGTCTTCACGGCCCTATTTTTGTAACCAAAAGTGGCCTACAAACATTGTTCTAAAAGAAATAAGGGCATTTATGCTCATTCAAGCAAACAATTAAGCATTTTGAGCTAAAAAACACACATGCATTAGTGGCAAAACACGAAAATTCGAAAGCAACATGGGGGTTTCTCAATTTTCGATCAACAGAAGCATGCTGAAACATCTTACAAGCCAAAAATTTCCGAAATTTTCGCAAAAATCGAAGAAAACTGAAATTGGAGGTGTTTGGGGGCATACTTTTTTGATTGCTTTGCTCTTTGAAATGCGGCTACTACCCATCCACCATTGCTGCTCTCCATTCCAGCCATCCCCCTCGCCCACCATTGTCGAAAGAATCAACGAATCGATTTTCGTTTTGGCGCCCTCAGTTTAGAGAGAAAAGTGATAGAAATGGGAAAAGGAGAGATTTTAGAGAGGGAATCGGTGCCGGGAGGGTATGTCACAGAGGAAAAGAGCCCTAGGTGAAGTTGTGACAGACCAAATTTTTAAAGAGAGAAGAAATTTCGCTCTCATGATGATGATTCATCATTCTCTTTTTTATATTTCTTTAACACCATTCAAAGTTGTGAGAGACATAATTTTTAGAGAGAAAAGAAATTTGGCCCTTTCATTTAGAAAAGGTTCTCAAGATGATGATTGATAATTTTTTTTATTTTTATATATTTCTTTAACACCATTCAATTTTATTCAGTTATTGGCGAGGCCACTGTTTATGATGTCTGATGCATTGGGGAATGCATGAAATACTTTTCCTTTCTCTTTATCCGATGTATTAAGCATGAATAAAGTACTCATCGGTTCGAGATTTATTTATTTTTGGGTGTGGTTTCTATAAGGATGCAACCTTAAACAATCCACACTTCTAAAATTTATCATAACATGTGATTTTGGTGTAAACCATTCTTAGGATTATCTTAAAATTTAATTATAAAATTTAAAACTCCAAAAATAGTTAAATCCAAGTAGATCTATAATCATATGAAAATGTTGAAAATGGATGGTCTAGATAATGTGCGGCACAATGCACTATTTTTAGGACTGAAAATGTATTTTCTTTTTCATATACATATACATACTTCTCGATGTTGAGATGATCAATCAAAGGGTTTTCAACATTAAAATAACCTGTTTCCATGGATTTTTACGTGCATCTTTAATTCTACATTTTAAGGTTGCAACCTTATATACACTTTTTCCTTTATTATTATTGATAAGGTGTTTATTTAGGAGATAGAGATTGACTTGAAGTGGGAGATAGGTGCCCCAAACTTGCTATCTCTGTATACCCCGATCTAGCCCATCTCAAATTGGACTAGTTTTAGATATTTTAAATTAAGTTGGGTGAGAAAGAGTTCCCATTCATGAATAATTGGAGCGACCAAATTAGCGCCCTAAATTATTTATTGCAGGTGGGGGATAGATAACGTGATTATTCATGATTAAATGGTATGCTCAAAATGGGGCTGAATTTCAAAAACGCCAACAACGTTGTACATCGCTGCTTTACCCAAGACATCGAAGTCTACACGACTCAAAAACTATTGTGACTGCATGCCCGATATAATTTTGGAAAAATTTCGTATAGAATTTTAATTCTTCGTATTATTTTATAGCAGATATTCTTTTTGTTTTTCTTTCAAGCGGCATAAAAAAACTTCTAAAGATTTTACCATACCCCCTCATCTCTTATCTCCCTATTTTATTGACTTTTGATCATAAAAATTAGCTCCAACAAATAATTTTATATCATTTCGACCAAAATTTTTTTTTTTTAATGGGTTGAAAAGGAAAAAGAAAGTTAAAAAAGTTTTTACGATGAAATGATATAAAAAAATTTGGTAGGGATTTCTTTATGCCGCTTGAAAGAAAAACTGAAAAAAAATCTACCATGAAATAATATGAAGAATTGGGGTTCTATATGAAATTTTTCCCATAATTTTTTTTGAATGATTAACTACAAGATTCATTAATACCCAAGAAATTACACGTAAGAAGGATGTAAACACCTAAGAAGATTGGTGCTACTTGGTTGGGGTCTAGGTTGGGTTTAGCCCGACCCGGAATCAACGACGACCCAACCAAATTACTACGTCCGCCACAATGGTCCTTATGATAGCCGGATGGCTGTGGTGGCAAATGTAGTGTTCCCCCTTTTTGTTTGATACGTTAACGATGGGAATGGAGGGTAGGATGGTATGTTGATGCATGCGCCCCTAACCACCATTGCTCCAACCCCATTCCCAAATCTGAAGTTTCCCCTTAGTAGTTCTTTCTGTCCAAAGGTCGCAACTAACTAGGAAAACAGAGGTGTCTCCCAACTTTGTGTGCACAAGGAATTCATGGATAGGGATCTCTTCAACTTTTTAAGATGTCAATGTCCTTTCATTTCACGTATTTATGTGTGTCATGCGAAAGAACCATGGTACATGTGGGTTATGCTCTGTTGTGGTGACCAAGTGATGAGCATGTTAAATTCAGAAGAAAGAAGAGGTGGTGGACGTATATCAAAGAACATTCTTACGGAATCCTATACCCTAATCACTGGTCTAATGGATATAAAAGAGAGGGGAACCTAGGTGAGGTCCCCGCATAACGAAGAAGTAATGTTAGCAGGAGATTCCAAGCACAAGAATAATAATGGTACTAAAAGATCATTCGGGGTTCAAGGAATGAAATCTGGACAGTTGAATCCAAGAAGAATATAAATGGTTCGTTATTTATTTTATTTGGCTATTATTAGCATGTAATGAATTGAGGAAGAGGCTTTTTTGACTGAGGTAGCATCCATTCCGAGAGAGAGAGAGAGAGAGAGAGAGAGAGCGCTCGAGCTCCAAACAAACAAAAGTGGAGAGAGAGAGAGAGAGAGAGAGAGCGCTCGAGCTCCAAACAAACAAAAGTGGCTCCTTTAATTGATGTGGGTGCACAAGTTGGTATGTGTGTATTGTTGCATGATGTACACACACAAAAAAAAGAAAAAAAAAAGTGAGGTAGACAGACACACTCACTAACGCGGAGAATGTTATGTGTCATCATCACTATGGGCACAATGCAAAAAAGATCTCATGTTTTGCTCCAACATATGGCCACTTTTGCTTACTAGGAAAATGGCAGGGTATCCCCCTTTTTTTCTTATTATCATTATTATAAAATTTTGAGGGGTTGACGTGGAAGGGAATTAGCATATAGGTGGGGCATGGCTGCGGGCCTTCTATTCCTCCCTCTTCTATCCACCAAATCCCCTCGTACGCCCCAACAGCAACAGCTGTACCAGGGAGAAACCCATCTTTTGCTGTTCTGGAATTTCTTGCTGTCCTTGTACTACTACTACTACTACCACCACCATCCCTGCACCACTTGTGAAGCCTAGCCCGGTGTCAATTTTCTGCAGTTACTCCATTGTGCTGTAATAGAATAGCACCTTCACTTCAACACATTGGGCATTTTTGTGGGGGGGGGCGGGGGGGGGTGTGAACGAAAAAAGGAAGCATCTGTGCCTGGAAGGTGATGGCGGTGGTGGTAGTGCTAATCCCATTGGATAAGCAGAGCTGTGATGATCCCATCCTCTCTTCTATTCTAAGCAGAGGTGGGACCCACCAGGTAGTGGGAGTGTCCAAGGCTCTTGGGGGGAGAGAGAATTTTGTACAAATGATGGCGAGTCAGATAGCAAATGCTGGGAATAATCGACACAGTAGTAGGATTATGAGGAGCATAAATGGATATGATTTTGGAAAGTAGTAGTAATACCAGTGGGTCTTGGAGAATCCTTCCCCCTCCTCAACACCAAGTGGAAGAAGCCACAGGATAAAATTTCTATATATCTTGTGGGGGAGGATATCGCAGTATGTGCTGTCGGGCATCCATCCGTGCATGCAACATCCCCCTCTTTCCTGATGGCCATAAATTCTTTCCTCCCGACGATGCAATGCCCATCGGAGCAGGCAATTGTCACCTGCCGTGATCGATCCCCACTGCTGTTCCATCCCCCTCATTTCCTTGAAAATGGTCAAATTCTCGAAGCAATTTGAGGCTCAGCTGGTCCCAGAGTGGAAAGACGCCTTTGTCGATTACTGGCAACTGAAAAAGGACTTGAAAAGAATCCACTTCCCCAAGCTCGAAAATCAGACGAAGAAAAACGACGCACCATCCAAAGGAGCTCTCCAAGCTAGAATTTTCCCATTCCATGCGGCTGCTCTTCTCCAACGGGTGTTCGGCCCATGCGCCACCGCTTCAAGCGAGCACAGGGCGATTCAGGTACTCTTTCCCATCCCTTACTCAGAGCTGAATGCCAATTGCTTCCCTCTTCACATTAAAAACTCAGACATCATCTAACTACTATTTCTCCTCGCATGGCTTGCTTTTTCATTTCTTTTCTCGCAACAGGTCCATAGGAAGTTGGCTACTTCTGCAAGCAAGGGCGACGTGTATGAAACTGAATTGTTAGAGCAATTTGCAGATACAACTGCAGCAAAGGCTTTCTTCGCCCGGTTGGATCTCCAGCTGAATAAGGTGAACCAGTTTTACAAGACCAAGGAGAGAGAGTTTTTAGAGAGAGGAGTCACGTTGAAGAAGCAATTGGCGATTTTGGTAGAACTCAAGGTATCTCTCAAAGGCCAGCCATGCATGATGGAGGTCATTGAGGATGCTTCTATCTCGAGCACCACCAAATCATGTGGTACCACCATCTAATCCTTCCTTGTTTTGCGGGTCATCTTTTCGGAAAAAGGAAAAAGGAAAATAAATATAACATAGAGGACATTCCACTTGCACACTACTTCGACAACTAGCAATTTATTAAGACCCTCCTGCAGAACACACAAGGAACTAGGACCCATGTAGAATTACAAAGTAGCAAAATCGATTTGAGTTACACCCAGCTTATAATCACATCCCTAATGTGCAAAACTTTCATAATAACTGGCTTGGGCTTAAGTGGTTAGCAATTGACTTCCAACACATCTCCAAGCTCAATGCCAACCATGGAACTACCACAAACAAAAAAAAAAAACAGAGAGAGAACTATGACAGTGCAGTCACATTGACAAGTTGCCTACCATCACATTGACGAGTTGCCTAACATCTTACACCCATGCAGAGGATGATTCAATGGAAGATCCTGCTGACCCAGACCCACAGCAGCTGGAGCCCGTGGCCTGTTGTGAGGTAGAGGAGGATGCAAGCACTCCCAACTCCAATGAAGCAGTGAAAGCTGTCAAGGAAAGAAGGGATGAAGCAAAGCTGAGCCTGTCGGGAAGGACATTTAGCTGCCAGGGGAGGAATGTGAGGATGAACATTCCCCTGACCAACCCCTCGAGAACAATTTCTGCCATCACAAACTTAGTGTGGGAGGATCTAGTCTCCCAGCCCAAAAAATGTAGTCCTGAAGGAAGCAAGTTGAGCATCAACAAGACTAAGCTGCACCATGCCGAGAAAATGATCCGGGGAGCCTTTGTCGAGTTGTACAAGGGACTTGGTTTCCTAAAGACTTACAGGTAATTCTTGCCCCCTCTCTTTTGGTAAGCTGAAAGCCTATACCAAACATCTTTTCTTTGGTTGTCTTTTCCTTTTAACACAATTCCACTCCATTGCACGCAGATCTTTGAATATGCTAGCTTTTGTGAAGATCTTGAAGAAATTTGACAAGGTATTTGGCGTATTTTTATTTTTATTTTTGTCCCCTGTATTAGTCTGGGTAGGTATGGCAACCTTTTAAATATACCAAGTCACAAATTTGAAGGAAATCAAAATGGCCTTCGCTTTCAGGTCACAGAACAACAAGTTCTGCCTATTTACTTGAAAGTTGTGGAGAGCTCCTACTTCAACAGCTCAGATAAGGTACACTTGCAACAAAGCTTACCCATTTAGTACAAAGGTGCATTCTGTGCAAAATAACCACAACAAGAAGAAAAAGGTCCATGTGCATGAGTGCGTAGGCGTGTATCTGACTGAAAAAGAGAGAAAGAGGGAGTGTGTGTGTATGTGTGCACGCTGGGGGGGAGGGGAGTCCTTTAGTCTCCGTAATTCCTGCTTTCCTTGCTGCATCACAGGTGATCAAGTCGATGGATGAGGTTGAAGATCTATTTGTGAAAAATTTTACTGGAGATGACCGTGTGAAAGCCATGAAGTATCTCAAACCGCGCCAACTTAGAGAATCTCATACAGTGACCTTTTTCATAGGTCAATAACATAATGCATGTTTTTTCCTTTTCTTTAAACTTTAGTTGTACCTGGACAAACACAGGTGAAGAAACTTGTTTTGATAATCCAAGCTTGCTTCAATTACTTTTTAAGATTATTAAGTGGAACCAAACTATGAAGATACTCAATTAGTCTTACAACAAAATAGAAAAGTGAAGCTATTAATCAGGGTTGGTTGTCTGTTGAATCCCATTTTCAGGACTCTTTATGGGTTGCTTCATCGCTTTGCTTGCGGGATATGTTATCATGGCCCATATAATGGGCATGTACACCAGACAGTCAAATTCTGTATACATGGAGACTGTGTACCCAGTACTTAGGTACCTCCTTGCGGACATAGATGGCATCTTTCTTCTCCCCCATTTATGAGAGAAAGTGATTTTTGATGATATTATTTTATTTTATTTTTTCTTTGCAGCATGTTTGCTCTCTTGTTTCTACACTTGTTCCTGTATGGTTGTAATATAGTGATGTGGAGAAAAGCCCGTATCAACTACAGCTTCATCTTTGAGCTTGCCCCAACCAAAGAACTAAAATATCAAGATGTCTTCTTGATTTGCACAACCTCCATGACCATTGTAGTGGGAGTGATGGTGGCACACTTGTGTCTAATTGCAAAAGGCCATTCCTCCACCAGCGTAGATGCCATTCCAGGCCTTTTGCTGTTGGTAAGTTTTCTTTAGCTTTTGAAGTATTGAAACTTGGTAAATGGAATTACCTAGAGAAAATATGGGGGATTCATAGTTTGCTTCAATAGGTGGGTGAAGAATTTCAATTAAGAACTTCGTAGTCGAATGTGAAGAATGCACACCCGGGCTTAGTTGGTTAGCGCAACGCTACGTCCTAGACTCAATTCCTACCAAGGGAAGGGGCACTCTCCCTACTGACTCACCCAAAAAAAGAAAAAAAAAGAGGGTAACTAAAAATTTCTTATGTTATCCTTCTTTGCATAATTGGGGAATGGTCAGTCGGACGGGGACCTTCCACTGATTATCATGGGAGTCCTCCCATTACTGTTGGATCACCTATGGCAATGAGATGGGATAACTAACAGAACCAGGATGTGGGAGATTAAATAGTGTGGTGGAAAAATCCTTAATGACGCATGAAGTGGGTCCACATTTCTTTGTTTATGTAACTATTCTGGTGAAGAAGTTACAAAAAGGTACTGAATGGGAAGTGCGAACTTTTAACAAGAGAGAACTAAGAAAATGCAAGATAAACAAATGATAAAGTAGTAGTTCATTTCGCCAATCAGTTGCCATAGTGTGTGCATTACATTACATAAACCATTTGCTTCCACAGTTTAGATATCAAAATCAGCTTGGCATTAGAACAAAGTAGTCCTCCTTTCTAACATGCTGAGAAAGGAGTTCCAAGGCTAAACTTCATGATATCTAGAATCTCATGTAAGAACTTTCACTCTACAGCTTACTCCCTTCTCCCATCTATAGTGGCCATTGATGGTTATGAGTTATCGTATTGAGAGATCATAATGATCCATCTTTTTCCGTTCTTAGGTTTGTGGAACTGAACTTTATTCTTATGCATGTTGCCACATAAATCGCAAATGACCTAAAACGTTACTTTGTCACATGTGAAGAAATTTAATGTTCTACGCACTAGATTTTTCATTAAAGGAAAACAAAACGAAAATCAAAGGATGCAGAACTTTGCTTTGATATATGGTAGCACTTACTCTTTTCCCATAAATTCCATAGATCAGAGCAAGGAGCCCTATAATATAAATCAGGGAAATTCAATTCCTATGTGAGTTGCAGAAGTTTTCACAT